GAGAGAGAGAGAGAGAATCATTACTGGATGGTTTTATTTTCGTTTTGGGGAGTCGAAACCGTATGAAATTTCATCGATCGCTCGAAAACGCGAAAGAACTTTTCTCCTTTTTGGCTACTAATCGAAATAACGACGAAAGAGGATCACGCATCTAGAAAACTAGAAAATAATTGAAACGAACAAGTAGAAAGACGTAGAACGACGTTGCTTCTCTAAATTGATCCGTTTCTTTGTTCGATCCATCCAGGTTGCCGTCGCCGTACAACAAGCAGTCGGCGGTCGGGGGTGGAGGTGGTGGCGCTGGAACCACGAGTATACCCTTACCTGCCACCGTGGCTGCCACCAGACGGTGTCCCCCGGACAAGGTCAGGCCGGCTCCTACGCCCACGCATCAATCGCAACTCGGTAAGTTATCTCTGCCATCTCGCTTCTTAACCCCTTCCCGTGTCATCGCGAGTGTTGTGTGATGAAGATTTCGGCCGAAACATCAACTCGAGTGGAACTGAAGATCGAGCCAAGCCTGAATCTTTATAAAAAGATTGAATTGTTTGAAATCTTTTAAAAATTGAAAAAAACAATATTATATTCAATAAAATTATTATTTCTAAAAAAAAAAAAAACTAGATATCGATAAGTTCGTTCAACTTCTAAATTTATATTTATAATTTTATTTCTAACGAAAAAAAAAATAACATAAATTTACCTCTCTTATTTTGTAAGACTCGAATCTTTTCAATCGAGATTTACCTCTTACCAGTACTTGACACGAGAAGATCATCGATTCTTATAATCTACAAAGATCTTGCAAAGTGGTCTCTATCGCTTGGGTCCGAATTTCGTCGAGCTAATTTGTACGGGAAGGGGTGGTTATATACAACAACAACAATAATAATAATAATAATCGATCGTGTATATATATATATATTTATGGAAATATGGCGGGATATGCGTTATTAACGGTTCTCATTGTTTTAACATTTGTTTCACGTTATACGGTTAATATGTTGACCTAATCCATACGTTCCATAACTCGTTGGAAGGAACTCGCGCGATATTTATAGATCCCCCGGGAGAGTTATAGCGGTGGCATAGCGGTTATCCACGCGTAATTTACACCGTTATCCACCCGAGTGGATACGGTATACTTTAAAATCGTGACGAGATTTTGGGGAGGGAATCTTCGTCGTGGACAGGGTTGACAGAGAAACAACCGTTTGGCCTGAACCCTTACGAACGCCTGTTTATTCCAAATTTGTGGTGAAATTATATAGGAGAGTACGTGAATTGTTATTAACGGCTTTTGTATCTTAATGCTTCAATGTGTCTTTATAAGTATGAAGAGAGAAAATTTGTCGATTATATTTAAAGTACGTGTCATTGTTTTGAATGCAATATGATGCATTCTCCTCCTCTGTTATTCTTATTTTTCATCTTTTTATATCACTTCTCTATTTTCCTTCTCTGATGAACTAACTTCTTAATCACGTGCTCTCACATTCACTGTCTACTATTCTTACTTTTCACCTTCTTATCACTATTTTCCTTCGCTCTATTTCTTAACGAATAGAAATAATTTCGTTAACAACGGAAAATCGAACTAATTTTTCATTCCATGCTCGAAAAAATTCAAAAACTTTTAAAGTAATATTTCTATGTCGCCACTGGCGATGATCACGATCCAATTTGAGATTAAAAAAATCCAGCCATCCGATGGTATATTATTCCACGATTTCCAAGATTATACAAATCAAACAAATAAATATCGTTCGAATGAGAGTCGCCAAAGAATTAATCGTGGCGTTAAGAAAAATTCTCGTGATCGATGCACGTTTATTCGAATCGTGCCGCGGCGTTACGCGTGTATTTTCGTGAAATAGGGCAACTGGTAGTTAAACGGATATCTCAGGCGATATTCGAAGGCATGAGAGGAGGAGGAGGGTGGTAAACGGCGCAGTAGATTCGGCAGCGTGTTAAGAACAGCCCATTAGCCATTAGTCCCGTGAATGGCTTTTAGCAACCCTTTGCCCGTTTCTGGCCGCCACGAGAGATCTGGACCACCATGGAAACTGGCTTCCATGGGGTATACGCGACCCCCTGCGTACGACGTGTCCCCCTTTAAATTTATAGCCTCTCTTGCACGGGCCTCCCTCCCTTCCTCCCTCCTCCTTCCCCATAAATGCGCATTTCGCTCGTTCTATTTCGTCCAAACGGCTGACTACCACCACATACACGAGGCCGTGTATCTCTCCGTGTTCTTCCACCTTCGTGTTAGTGCTTGTACCTTTGTCAACCCTGTTTCGTGCAACTCTGTTGCGACGAGTTGCGTAGACAGGGTTGGCTGGCAACTCGCGTGGACGATGATATTACCTACGTCTATGGTGGTCGGGAGGAGGTGGTGGTGGTGGTGGTGGGTAGCCCGCTACGAGATGGGGTGCCACCCCATAGTTTATACTTTACTCTCAACTCCCACGTTTCCAGGGTAGCCAGATGTGCGCGCCGATTTACAGCGGTTCTCAACCTCGACCCCCTCCTCTTATGAAATTTACTATCGGCATCGCATCCTTCGAACCATCGACTCTTCGTCCTCTCGATCGTGAAATTAAGATTTTCGATAATACAGCGGTTCTCAACTTCGACCCCTCCTCTCACGAAATTTATTGTCATTCGAACCATCGACTATTCGTCCTCGATCGTGAAATTAAAACTAGACAAGATTTTCGATAATACAGCGGTTCTCAACCTCGACCCCTCCTCTCACGAAATTTATTATCGACGTCACGTCCTTCGAATTATTCGTCGACTCTTCGTTCTCGATCGTGAGATTAAGATGATAAGATTTCCGATCGAATCTCGATAAGATTTTTCGATAATGCAGCGGTTCTCAACCTCGACCCCTCCTCTCACGAAATTTATTATCC